TGTATATATATATATATATATGTATATGTGTATATATATATATATATGTATATGTGTATATGTATATATGTATATATATGTATATATATGTATATGTATATATATATGTGTGTGTGCGTGTTTCAGGTTCAGCAGATCTGGGTGTTTGTCTCCACAAGTCCTCTAGCGGTCTGGATCTCCCCATGAAGGTGGTCGACATGTTTGGCTGCTGTCTGCCCGTCTGTGCCATCCACTTCAGCTGGTGTGTGCGCGCACACACACACACACACACACACACACACACACACACACACACACACACACACACACACACACACACACACACACACACACACACAGAGTGTTAAAGATGCCTCTTCTCCTCAGTCTACATGAGCTGGTGAAGCACGAGGAGAACGGACTGATCTTCAGAGACTCTCAGGAGCTCGCTGAGCAGCTCAAGGTGAGAGGAAACACCTCCCTGTTCCACCTCTAACCACACCCAGCAGTGATGTCACTGGGTCCTAGAGTAGACCTGTACATCACTGCAGCGAGCTGACAAGTTAAAGGGACAGTAGTGATGTTATGTGGTGTGGTTGTATCAGGTTCTGTTGCGTAAAAATGACTTATTTATTGAATATGCTGTATTACTACGAATGAAGCGTTAAGAGTCGACCTTTACTGTGAGATCCTGCTGTCAGACGAGAGAAAGAGACGACTCGTTGCATCAGTTTACTGGTTTTGTTCTGCGTCACCAAAACATGTCGACCTGTAAGTTTGATCATCAAAGAAACTGAACTAAAGTATAAAGTGAGAAATCCAGCAGAGCTTTTTAAAGGAGCTGTGTGTTTCCAGTCTCTCCTCTCAGAGTTTCCCAGTTCAGACGGCAGACTGGGAGAGTTCAGGACGAACCTCCAGACCAGCAGAGGGCAGAACTGGGACGACAACTGGGACCAGAACGTCCTGCCTCTGATCACGGCTCCCTGACTGGACACCAGAGCGGGATTCTGTTACATTGTGTTAGCAGCAATAAGGCTGACGAGTCACGTTAGAATATTTGGGATGAAAGACAGAAAGAGCTTCTTTTGTTTCACTGGAGACGAAATGCAGCAGAAACACTGACAAACAGTAACGCTCTATATTAAGGTCTTTGTAATAAGCGTTAGTTAAAAGGTAATAAAGCCTTTATAAGATTCCTATTAGCATATGTTAATAACCATATCAATGTTAATAAAAGCATTATAAACGTGTATTATATAATATGGTATTTGTTAGCACTGAAAATAACAGTTTTAACAGTTTAAACGCTTAACATATAAATAAATAATAATAAGCCCTTAAGTTATGAGTATTTTATAATTGTTTATAAAAGCTTTACGAACACATTTAGTGTTTAACTAACTTACCTTTTATTTCATTGTTTCTTTATTAACATTAAATATACTATGTTATACATTTATTAGCAGTCGACTTAATGCAGGTACTGGAATCTAAAGCGAGAACAAATCATTAGAATTAATAAATCCTTTATGATGCATTTATTAACAGTTGTGTTAAAACTGATAATAAATGTATAATAAAGTACGTACTCATCTTAATAAAGGTTTGACGTGATATAATAGGTAAGTTAGTTGTGTAATAATACTAATAAGATACTCAAAGCTTTTATTAATGTTCTTAATAAGTATATAAACTAACAAGTTTTCTATAAGTGCTTATAAATGTCTTATCTAACAATAAACAAGTTCATAATGCTATCAACACTTATATAGTCTTAACACATAATAATGTAAATAAGAGTTATAACAACCTTATTACCTTTTACCTAACGCTCATGACAAGGACCTGAATAAAAACCTTTTCATTCCAGTGTGTTTTTTTCTACTTCAGGGCACCTAAATGTGTAAAAAGGACTTTGATACGATGTACATTTGTAAATAAAATCTTTATTGTCTCCGGTGGCGTCGCCTGAACAGTCTGATCATCTCTACAGCAAAGACTCTGTTGTAAGGAAACACCTGACTCACGGCTCCTGTGATCACGTGATGGACGATTCCTGCTTTTTCTGTCAAAATAAAAACATATTCAGAAGGTGTCGATAAGTATAAATAATAAATAAAACCACACCAGCCTCATTCATAAAGAGAGGTAAGTTCTGTCTCACCGAGCTGCTGCTTGAAGCCGCCGTATGTCTCCTGGTTCCTGATGGTGGAGCAGATGAAGACCTCCGGAGACGAACACCTTAGGACCTTAGAGAGCAGCTCCACCAGACGCTCTACAACATCTGGGTCATACACCACATCTGTACAGGAGGGAGGAAACATCTGCATCTGAACGAGGCGGGAGGCTTCAAAGAATAGTGAAGTTTCTACTGTGAGGAACTTTTAACAGTCTTAGTTTAGTCCTGATCCTATATGACGCCACGCTGCTGGAGACCCAGGACGTATTGCTGGACCCGCTGGAGGGAAGGGAGGCACAAGAGAACCAGAACCAGGACTGAGAGGGGCAGACTGTCAGACCCTGCTGCAGTAAAATGAGGTTTTTTAAAGTCTGGTGATCAGAAACACTACCACTTTAGTCCACAGGGGGAGACAGAATCAACACTAAATGAAAATTTCTTGAAAAAGCAAATGATTCACTTGTTTAAGCTTCTAAATTGTGAGACTTCTGTTAAAGCTGAATAGATCAATATGTTTATGTTAACGATGGATCAGATTACTTTGTGACCAAACTCTATGAAGCGTTTTAGATTCTTTTGGTTCCGTCTCAGTGTTTTCATCTCTGATATCAATCCTTCAGAACGGATCATCTGGACTCTGACCTGCAGCGATGACGGTGTCGGCCCCGATCTGAGCGATCTGCTCCTCCGATGCTGAGGTCCAGTCCAGCTCCTCCACGCCGACCGTCCGCTCGGTCAGACCGTTCAGCCGGACGTTGTGTCTCAGCTTCTGCAGGACTCTGGGGTGACAGTCGCTGAAGACATATCTGTTCGGGCCGCAGGAGCGACAGATGGTGATGCCGGTCAAACCCACGCCACTGCCCAGCTCCAGAACCGTCCTGCAGACCGGAGGGCGCAGAGGGGACGGATTTTAAAAAGAGAGTTGAGGGAACCGGTCATAAACGAACTTTTTCTCTCATCGGCGTCGTTCTTCTCGTGGTGGTTTTTAGGAGTTTTAGGATACCTGCCGGTGAAGTTCTGCCGGTGGTCCAGAGCCCACTCGGCCAGGTACAGAGCGGCGTCCCACGTCACCAGGCCGGTGGTCCCGTCTGAGATCAGAGCGACGTTTTCCAGCAGGCTGACCGCTTCACCGCTGGGCTGCAGGGCGAGAAACAACACCCACATGTCAATAATAATAATGTTAATATTAATAACAAGCAAAACAATCGATATGAGAGAAAATAATATCAATAATAAAATAAAGCAATAAAGCGTCGACATCACATCAAAGCCAGTCTGTAAAAATGTGTTTTAAGAAGTGATTTAAAAGTTTTCTCTCCTCAGGTGGGTCGTTCCAAAGCTGAGGGGTCCTGATGGCAAAAACACGGTCAGCTTTTAGTTTTCAGCCTCGACTTTGGAACAACCAGAAGGACCCACATGAGGCTCTAAGCCAGCGGCATCATAAGGGGTCAACATCTATTCTACATATTTCGGGGAGTGAATGTCAGGGGAGACGGTATTCCTACGGGAGCCAAGAACGAACGCAACATCACAAATTCATGGCTGGAGTTACTGTTCAGTTATGAATCTCCTCCGACAGTCGAGACCTTGAATGCTGAAATCAGGTGTGATTTAATGAACCAGATCTTGGGGAAACTAAATAATTTACTTATTTGATGACATGATTTCGAGATAAAGGCTTTAAAAATATTATTGCGTGGTTTTTTTACATTTCGAAAGGATTTTTCTGACATTTTGGATCCCCGATGACGGACAGAAGTGTTGATACTCATTTATCTTATGAAATATGAAAGCTGACTATGAAGCCTGATGGAAGTCCTCTCTGAGGTAAATACATCCGTGTGTGTTTAGTCATCGGCACCACGAGGATCCCGGCTGTGAGCCGGTGAACGGTGCAGCAGGTTCGGTACCAGAATGTAGCTCTTGTAGCACTCGGTCGAGTCTTCAGCACCGACCACTTCAGCCAGAGCGTCGTATAGCTCGTCCAGCGGATCGCAGCCCGCGGCCTCCTGCTGTAAGGACACGACACGTTACTCTAACTCTAAGAGTGGAATATCTCATGTGTTAAAGCTGCATTCTCTCTAGTGTCCACCAGGGGGCGACTCCTCTGGTTGTATAGAAGTCTATGGGAAAATGACGGTGATTGACAGGTCTCTACCAGAGGCGTATATGGTGTAAACATTTTTTACATTATCAAAACAAAATCATGAAAAGTAATTGTTAGTTGTCACCATAACTAACTGACTAATGAGTTATTTAAGAGACAGAGAGCCAGACAGACAGAGACAGACATACAGAGAGACAGACAGACAGACAGACAGACAGACAGACAGAGAGACAGACAGACAGACAGACAGACCTGTCTGATGAGCTCGGAGAGGAACAGCTTCCTGTATCTGACTGAAGGTGGAAACTTCCGGCACAGAGAGTGAAGACACGTCTGTCAAAAACACAAAAGATTCATTGTTGATTATATTATTGATAAATGTTTTATGATCATGAAATCATGACATCATTGTGTGCCGGCTGACTGACCTGTTTCAGGATGTCTGAAATCAGATCTGACGATTTGTTGGATTCGAGATCTTTTCCTAAAAACTGAAATGTAGAAATGGTCAGTTAGAAACTATGAAGCTGTTTTAAGCCTTTAATGAGGTGAATTTGCTCAAATACTTATTCATAGAAAGTCAGAAATGTGAATGTTTTTTCTCAGAATTATGGGTGTAATCTCACCTTTTATTATCAGATATTGACTTAAATAATACAACAATAATAATAACTCTACTATCAGCATTCTTCCTTTATTTACTATTTAACAGAACATCAATAAAGACTGATATAGAATATACACATATATTAATCAATTGTGATCTTTTAACATATATATATATATTCTTAATATATCACACTATTTTTCTTTACATCCTGCATTTCACGTTTGTTTTCGTGACAAATAAAACCACTGAATTTAAATAAAATCGACCTTTATTAAATAGACATTTTACACAAATCAACAAGTCTGCATCGCTTGTTATGTTCATATTCTATTTTGCAAATAAATGTACAATAAAATATTCAAAAATCCAGAACACAGTGGAGACAAATCCCACAGGAGAGTCCGCTGATCTGTGGAATAATACGAATGATATTCTGACACACAACATCTTTTGTGAATGAAGTCCGGTGTGATGTTCACACAGAGACGCTGTGTTATCACCCGGTGGTACTCACGGTCCAGGGGAACGAAACCAGCTGACTCATTGCGAAGAAAGACTCCCGGAAGTCCCGTAAAACATCCACCTTGTCTCTTTTGCTGCCTGAGGTTTGGTTCTGCTCTGAACGCTCCATGCTCTCTCTCAACGTGTTTGTGTTTACTTCCTGATTACCCAGAAGGCATCGCGCTAGAACTACACTACCGAGTGGTGGAGTTTTTTATTCAAATTACTATATTTTATATATAATTAACAAGAACTTCGCATCTGTAAACAAATATCCATGAAATAAAAAAATATTTAAAAAAATAATAATAATAATTAAAAAAATAATAAAATTTTTTAAAAAGATTAAAAAATAATAATCTGTTTTTTTCTCCTTTTTTTCCGCCAGCAAAAAAAATGTAAATCTTTTCTTTTTTTCGGGGGGTGGATTTTTTTTTTTTTATTGTTAGTTACCTTTTTATTTTTTGGCTGGCGGAAATGGGCTTTCATATGAAGTTTATAATCTGTCAATAATATTGTTTGTTATTTTTAGCCTGTTGTAAGGTCATCCCGCTCTTTTCTTGCTGTGTCACTGCAGGAGAGATAAATCTCTTTACAGTTGGGCCAACTCCTCATTCTCTGAGAGCAGCACACACACACTGAGCATTTAGTGGTGAGTAACAAGTATATTATTACTATTAGTAGTAGTAGTACTAGTAGCAGTAGTAGTATTGTAGATGATTTTTCAATCAATTTCCTTGTTCTAATGCTTACTGATTATTCCGATTTTGATCATAATCAATTTAATGTATTAATGACAACTAAGTAGTCGGACTAAAGGATTTTGACTTTTCTAATCTTTCATTAGACAGAAAACATTTCTTTTGACTTACAGGCTTAGTGTAGGACTCCTTTCACACGTAGAATATCACTCCATATTGTCACTGATGTACAGTTAAACTGCTTTAAAGGTCAAATGCAAAACATGAATATTAGAATTGGAATCAACTAATTAACTGTAGTGGTCGGGGTAAACAAATACAAAAATTATGGCCAGAACATTTTGGTCCACAAAATGTATACGTTTATTGTAAGAGTTGATATTTTTATTTTTGTATATCAATTCATCAGTAAACCTGCTGTAAACCACTTAAACTGTCCCCAGACTTCTGTTACCATGTGTTCATATTTGTTGAATATTTTGTTCACCTAAATTGTTGCTACAGAAGTCTATTTTATTGTGAAAGATTAAATACAACTTCCGGTGAACACTAAAAACCAAAATGACCAAACTGAAGCGATCCAAAACACATTTGAGAGAGTCGACAAAAGAAATGTATGATGTTAAAATAAACAAACTTTCGTAATTTATTTGGTAATAGTCCAACTGGAGTTTCTTATTTTACATCGTTAGTTTTTAAATACAACTCGACCGGATGTACGACGATAACCGGAACACACATGAACGTTGTGTTTCTCACCGGAGCATTTTATGCAAAGGACTGTCAACAAACAATATGGCGACTTAACTAAACTCTACTCGACGTTACAAATGGAGGGTGAAAGCTTCTATCGGTGTTAAAGAAGGTAAATAATGTATATTTATTACACACGTATCTGGTGTCCACACTGTCATTACACAGCTGACGTCATACCTCTCCGCGAGATGATGTAGTGTCATAATTTTTTATATTTAAATGCATCTTATTGCAGATGAAAGGTAGCCTTTATGGCTAAATCTGACACATTAACACGATGGACTCAAGTGGTCTCAATTTTAATTAATGTGCTTTGTCCCTTTTTAAATGAACAGAAACATTTTATTTGTAATTTAACACATTTGTTTTGCGCTAAATCTAAAGCCACTGACGTCACACATCAATAGCTGCCTCGAGCTCTATCTGTTGCCACAACAACACGCGAGACATTCAATATGTCAAGGTCATAAAAAGTAGGTCAACCGCCTCGTGCCGTTTGTTTCCGTTTCATTCCTTTGATGTGTGTCCTCCCATCGCACGTCTTTAATAACAGGAATATCTTTAATACATAACAAAGATACACTACATCGGGTATTATTATACATAACTTATAATACTTGTTATTACAGTTCGTTTTTATGTATTCTTGATGTTTTGTTGTGGATCTGAAATGTGGTCAGTTGTGGAAGAAGTACTCAGTGGTAACAATACCACAGTGTAGAAGTACTCTGCTACACGTAAAAGTACTGCATTCAAAATTTAGCTCAAATACAAAAGTACTAGTGTCACAAACCGGGCCGAACGGCCATGACAAAAAAGGGAGACGCATTCAATGAAACAGTTCATTAATTATTTATTAAGTTTAAAGTAATATAAAAGACAAACATAAACTAACAGTGACATGTGAAGTCAGTCATTTCAGCAGTGTAAGTGAGTGGGTGCGTGTAAAGTGTATGTGCAGTGTTGTATAGTGTAAAAACAAACCATAACCGCAACCAAAGTGGGTGTCTCAGGAAGGAGCGAGAGACCAACTGAGAATCCAGAGGGTTTTTATACTGAGTGCTCAGGTGCTTCCACTCTGCCTGACGACCCTCTGCCACACCCACCTCCACACCTGCAAGGAAGGCAGCCAAACGAACAGGCAGAGAGGGTCGTCACACTAGCATCAAAATATACTTAAAGTAAAAATACAATAATATAAAAGAATATTTTATTATTGGATAATAATAATTACATTATACGTACATTACTGTAATGTTGAAGCTGGTAAATGTGAGGCTTATTCTAGTGTACTTGTTTATACCCATAATAATAAATCATAATGTATTTGTTTAGTATATTTTGTATTATTCATCTGAATCAGAGGAGTAACTACAGTTATCAAATAAATATAGTGCAGTTAAATGTAATACATTTCTCTCTGAGATTCTGAGGAGTAGAAATATAAAACACAAGAAAATACTCAAGTAAAATAAAAGTGGCTCAAAATTGTACTTTAGTAAGTTCTGGAGGAAATTAGCTTAAAGGTCTCTCAGACCATGTTCTCATTTTCAGTTATTTAAACAGTCAAGTTTGTTTTGTTTGTTTGTTTAACGTCTCGTTTTATTTAAATGATCCCAATTTCTGTCAAAAATATCACATTTGATCTCAAAAGACGTGAATTTTACTTTTACTAAATGTTCGGGACGCTATCAAGCCGTTGCTCTTTAGATCTGCTTCACACCAGCTTCAGGTTGGAGCTTCAATTCTCACTTTTCTTTTCTTTCCTGTAAACTTCTTGGAGTTATTGCTGAACCCTTTAAAAGAAAAACTACATATTTGTGTGTTTTAAAGATACAAATGGGTTTCAAGACACATGCAGGGTTAATAAATCAGAAATGGTTGAGAGATGGACGAACACATTGTTGTTTTCTATAATAATAATAATAGAAATATAGATTTGCACCAGCTGTTCCCCACTCTGTGTAACCAGAGCTGCTTGTTTTTCCTCCTCAGATCCTCAGAGCTGCTGCAGGCTGAACGCTGAGCTTCGGTGACGTCATGGTGCTGAAGGTCTTCTTCCCGCAGTGCTGTAACCGGGCGGACAGCGGCCTGCTGGTCGGCCGCTGGATCTCCGGCCATGACTCAGCCGTGGTGCTGGCGGTCATCCACTACCCGTTCATCCCGGGACAGGTCAAACAGTACGTCCAGCAGGTCAGTACAGCACCGCACACACCTCTGTGTCCCCTCAGGTCTGGATCAGGCTCAGATTGAACCTCTCATGTAGTCATATGACATTTCAGTCACAGAGCCAAACATCTGTTTTTCTGAAAAGATTAATAGCTGTTTTCAAGGTGTTTTCAGATTTCTTAAGGACTCTTCTGGATGAAATCTGCAACACATTAATACCAGATTTCTAACCGGCTGCTCCTCTTTTATCCAAACAAAGATGAGCAGTGGACATAATTCTTGCTCAATTTGTACGTGAACTGAAATGAGGCACACTTCTTCGTTAAGGTACCAAAGTTAAAAGTCTTTATTGGTCCTTCCTCCTCCTCCCTCTTCTTCCCCCAGATGAAGGCTCAGAGTGGGGGGGAGCTGTCGGTGCTGGGCTCCTGGAGTTTACCCAAAGACGGTCAGGAGGGCATGGAGAGCTTCCTCAGAGACCTCAGCACCATCTTCCCCCAGGAGCGCTGGCTCCAGATCAACCGCGAGTTGGGCAAGACGGGCTTCACCTGCCAGGTCCTCCGCCGGGACCAGAGTAAGACCCTCAGACTGAGGTCCGCTGGGTTTATACAGCAGGACTGGAGCTCCCTGATAGGAAGTATATATATATATATATATATGTATATATATATATATATATATATGTATATATATATATATATATATATATATATATATATATGTATATGTATATGTAGGAGACATTACATTAAGTTCTCATCTTTAGTTTCAGTTCACGTCTCTTTGCAACTTGACAAGAATCAATTCAACTGTTAATAATTTGCTGGTTTTGGGGTGAAAAGTATTGACCATTGATTCATAGTTTCTATCACTTTAATTTATTTAATTTAGAGTTAATAAGTTTCTTATCTGTGTCGAGTATTTAATAAACTTCAGCAGGACTTTTTGTTGAAGGAAGTAAAGTAAACTATCAGGAGTTTACAGTGAATCATCTTTGTCTTGGCCAGATGGAAAAGTAATTCAGCGGGAAATGAAAAAGAAGGTTGAGGGAGGTGATGAAGAAGAGCAGGAGGAGCAGGAGGAGGAGGAGAAGGTGATCTTCGTCCACTACGAGCAGAAGAAGGTGATGTTCTCACAGCTTCACCCCGTCGAGAACGGAGTTCCTGACCCCAAAACGGATCCACCGTCTGAGCTGAGACAGGTAGAGACAGAAGAGCAGCTGCTTCTCTTTGATCAAATCTTACAGAGTTCGTAGGATGCAAGTCTCTGTTGTTTGTTTCTCTCACAATGCAGAAAAAAAATAACAATGCAGCATGAATTTTACTGCTTTTCATCTTGTGTTATGTACATTATAAAAAATCTGAAGCGACATGTTTCCAGAGGACGTACAGAGTAAAGTACATGTGTGGAAGGTCAAGTTACAAGTCCATGTGAACAGGGAGTCAAGTGTATCCTCCTCCTCCTCCTCCTCCTCCTCCTCCTCTGGTCCAGATGTTCCAGTCGGTGGCCGGCAGTGCTCCTCTGTTCTTCCTGGACCGGTACGATGACGGTCCTCTGAAGTCGACTCACTGGCAGTCTGACGGCCGAGAGGCGAGCATCCTCGTGGAGCTGCTGAAACAGGCCTCGGTGCCGCTCTGCATGCTCCTCAGCTGGCTGCTCTCCATCTGGACCTGGCTCAGTAACGCCCGGTGAGCAGGGAGGAGACCAGACAGACAACAACATAAATATACATGTTTATGTTTCATTCTCTCTATAAGATATATACATGTTTCTTCTAGAGATTAATTAAGTATTCTGTCAATAGATTGGTGTTGTCTCAGTTCTGTCAGTGTTGAAGGAGGATCACTCTGATCCAGACGCTGAGAGGCAGCGACACTTTAATCCTCATTATCTCCATCCTCATTATCCTCATCCTCATATTTGCTCCTCAGGATCTTCAGCCTCTTCCCGCTGCGCTTCCTGTCCTCTAAGCTGTCCACATGTGTGCAGCTCAGCTACAGAACCGAACACATGAGGACGCTGAGCTCAGCGAAACCGGCCGCTGGACACACGCACTTCATCAGGTAACTGTTTTACATGTTACATTTGGAATGTGTAAGTACAATTTCTTACTGCACTGTATCTATATTTCTGATTGAGTATCAGTTATTGTATTTTATTATTAATGTATATTAATATTCTAGTTTATCTTGAATTATTATTATTGTCAGACAAAGATGAACCAGTGACACTACATGTCTGTCTGTCTATCTGTCTCTCTCTCTCTGTGTCTCTCTGTCTGTCTGTATGTCTCTCTCTCTCTCTCTCTCTCTCTCTCTCTCTCTCTCTCTGTGTCTCTCTGTGTCTCTCTGTATGTCTCTCTCTCTCTCTGTGTCTCTCTGTCTGTCTCTCTCTCTCTCTCTCTCTCTCTCTGTGTCTCTCTGTATGTCTCTCTCTCTCTCTGTGTCTCTCTGTCTGTCTCTCTCTCTCTCTCTCTCTCTGTGTCTGTCTCTCTGTCTCTCTCTCTGTCTGTGTCTGTCTCTCTGTCTCTCTCTCTGTCTGTCTCTCTGTCT